ACCGTGTATACAGCTGACATTATTACCACACTGACTGTGTATATAGCTGACATTATTACAACACTGACCGTGTATACAGCTGACATTATTACCACACTGACTGTGTATACAGCTGACATTATTACAACACTGACCGTGTATACAGCTGACATTATTACCACACTGACTGTGTATACAGCTGACATTATTACCACACTGACTGTGTATATAGCTGACATTATTACCACACTGACTGTGTATACAGCTGACATTATTACCACACTGACTGTGTATACAGCTGACATTATTACCACACTGACTGTGTATATAGCTGACATTATTACCACACTGACTGTGTATATAGCTGACATTATTACCACACTGACTGTGTATATAGCTGACATTATTACCACACTGACTGTGTATACAGCTGACATTATTACCACACTGACTGTGTATACAGCTGACATTATTACCACACTGACTGTGTATATAGCTGACATTATTACAACACTGACCGTGTATACAGCTGACATTATTACCACACTGACTGTGTATACAGCTGACATTATTACCACACTGACTGTGTATACAGCTGACATTATTACCACACTGACTTTGTATACAGCTGACATTATTACCACACTAACTGTGTATACAGCTGACATTATTACCACACTGTATATACAGCTGACATTATTACCACACTAACTGTGTATACAGCTGACATTATTACCACACTGTGTATACAGCTGACACTATTACCACACTGACTGTGTATACAGCCGACATTATTACCACACTGACTGTGTATACAGCTGACATTATTACCACACTGACTGTGTATACAGCTGACATTAATACCACACTGACTGTGTATACAGCCGACATTATTACCACACTGTGTATACAGCTGAAATTATTACCACACTGACTGTGTATACAGCTGACATTATTACCACACTGACTGTGTATACAGCTGACATTATTACCACACTGACTGTGTATACAGCTGACATTATTACCACACTGACTGTGTATACAGCTGACATTATTACCACACTGATTGTGTATACAGCTGACATTATTATCACACTGACTGTGTATACAGCTGACATTATTACCACACTGACTGTGTATACAGCTGACATTATTACCACACTGTGTATACAGCTGACATTATTACCACACTTTAAGCTGCTCCAGTCTTCTCGTAAACATGTTTCTGAGTGTGTTTAAGCTGCTCCAGTCTTCTGGTAAACATGTTTCTGGGTGTGTTTCAGCTGCTCCAGTCTTCTGGTAAACATGTTTCTGGGTGTGTTTAAGCTGCTCCAGTCTTCTGGTAAACATGTTTCTGAGTGTGTTTCAGCTGCTCCAGTCTTCTGGTAAACATGTTTCTGAGTGTGTTTAAGCTGCTCCAGTCTTCTGGTAAACATGTTTCTGGGTGTGTTTAAGCTGCTCCAGTCTTCTGGTAAACATGTTTCTGAGTGTGTTTCAGCTGCTCCAGTCTTCTGGTAAACATGTTTCTGAGTGTGTTTAAGCTGCTCCAGTCTTCTGGTAAACATGTTTCTGGGTGTATTTCAGCTGCTCCAGTCTTCTGGTAAACATGTTTCTGAGTGTGTTTAAGCTGCTCCAGTCTTCTGGTAAACATGTTTCTGAGTGTGTTTCAGCTGCTCCAGTCTTCTGGTAAACATGTTTCTGAGTGTGTTTCAGCTGCTCCAGTCTTCTGGTAAACATGTTTCTGGGTGTGTTTAAGCTGCTCCAGTCTTCTGGTAAACATGTTTCTGGGTGTGTTTAAGCTGCTACAGTCTTCTGGTAAACATGTTTCTGAGTGTGTTTAAGCTGCTCCAGTCTTCTGGTAAACATGTTTCTGAGTGTGTTTCAGCTGCTCCAGTCTTCTGGTAAACATGTTTCTGGGTGTGTTTAAGCTGCTCCAGTCTTCTGGTAAATATGTTTCTGGGTGTGTTTAAGCTGCTCCAGTCTTCTGGTAAACATGTTTCTGAGTGTGTTTAATCTGCTCCAGTCTTCTGGTAAACATGTTTCTGGGTGTGTTTAAGCTGCTCCAGTCTTCTGGTAAACATGTTTCTGGGTGTGTTTAAGCTGCTACAGTCTTCTGGTAAACATGTTTCTGAGTGTGTTTCAGCTGCTCCAGTCTTCTGGTAAACATGTTTCTGAGTGTGTTTAAGCTGCTCCAGTCTTCTGGTAAACATGTTTCTGAGTGTGTTTCAGCTGCTCCAGTCTTCTGGTAAACATGTTTCTGAGTGTGTTTAAGCTGCTCCAGTCTTCTGGTAAACATGTTTCTGGGTGTGTTTAAGCTGCTCCAGTCTTCTGGTAAACATGTTTCTGAGTGTGTTTCAGCTGCTCCAGTCTTCTCGTAAACATGTTTCTGAGTGTGTTTCAGCTGCTCCAGTCTTCTCGTAAACATGTTTCTGAGTGTTTTTCAGCTGACTATGGCTGAGCTCCTGCATGGTTTTCATTTGCTGTCTCCTGTTTAGCATAAGTAATTCGATTCTGCCCACTGAAAGGGAGGGAGGGGGGGGGGGGGGGGGGGGGCTGTGTGGTCTCGAGGCATGGTGTCCACCTTGAGTGCTAACGATTCTGGGTTCAATCCCCAGTATGGGCTGGAATTTTTTTATGTGGACTTGGACTTCTAGTAATTCTCCCTGGTCCCTGGGTAGTCAGATCACACGCTTGTGTGCATTGTTGCACATGTAAAAAAAAAATCCCTTGCCAGTTGGAAATCGAAAAGAGTAGCCTAACGGAGCTGCCCGGGCAAAATTTTGAGTTAGAAATCTAAACAAAGTATTTCAGAATCCTTGCCGGTGCTACAAAGCCTGTGCACTGTGCTGAGCTTCTTCGGACTCAGACTTGAGTAAGAATAAGAACGGAGCACTAGTGGGTTACTACCCGTGTGCCATGATGCTGATCCGTTGTTCAAACCTCAAACCCCTGTCCACTGAAGATCCATTTCCCTTCGGTGCAACTTTTGCAAATGTTGTGTTTAACATATGTTGTGTGTTTAACATATGTGCTGTCCAAACTGTGATATATGTGGCCAATTCTCTCCAGAACCTCCATATTTTATTGTTTTTGTTTCCACAAAATTCGACTTATTTGTCTGTATACCCACATCTTGAGAGACTCAATTCAAATTTCTAGTTGCTAGTACATTGTCAAGGCTTCTGCACCATATAGTAGAGTTGAAAACAGCCAAATGTATTGTTTATCTCTCTAGATAACAATGTGCACATCTTGTTGAAGATATTATTAGTCTTTCATATCCTCCTTCTTATTTCCAACATCAAACATGACTTTCAAATAGCAAAGATCAGAAATGAGGGACAAACGGCTCTCAGCAAAAGCCAACATCAAACATGACTTTCAAATAGCAAAGATCAGAAATGAGGGACAAACGGCTCTCAGCAAAAGCCAACATCAAAATAACCTACAGACAGCAAAGATCCAAAATTACCTTGAAGAAATAATGCAACGTAATTTGGTTGATGAAGCAGGGAAAACTGGCTAATGCCATCTTCAGATTCACTCATTATCAGTCAATGCATATAGTTAAACAAACCTATTGTAGGGTACTACTTTGAAAGTGTACATGGAAAAATATGTTTATAATATCTGATTCGCCACAAATCCAATGGCACATAATTCAGGTATTATACAGGAAACACGGGACCAGCCCAAATGTGCCCAGAGATGGACAAATAAGATAGACTACAGAAAAATATTATCCACAGACAGACAACTAAGGCAGAAAACAGACAACTAAGGCAGAATAGAGACAAACATAGGAGGAGGGATCAGTAAAGCATCAACAATGGCTAACCCATGACAGCCAGTGGTATGTCACCTAATCATCAACAATGGCTAACCCATGACAGCCAGTGGTCATATCACCTAATTATCAACAATGGCTAACCCATGACAGCCAGTGGTCATGTCACCTAATTATCAACAATGGCTAACCCATGACAGCCAGTGGTCATGTCACCTAATCATCAACAATGGCTAACCCATGACAGCCAGTGGTCATATCACCTAATTATCAACAATGGCTAACCCATGACAGCCAGTGGTCATGTAACCTAATTATCAACAATGGCTAACCCATGACAGCCAGTGGTCATATCACCTAATTATCAACAATGGCTAACCCATGACAGCCAGTGGTCATGTCACCTAATTATCAACAATGGCTAACCCATGACAGCCAGTGGGAATGTCACCTAATTATCAACAATGGCTAACCCATGACAGCCAGTGGGAATGTCACCTAATTATCAACAATGGCTAACCCATGACAGCCAGTGGTCATGTCACCTAATTATCAACAATGGCTAACCCATGACAGCCAGTGGGAATGTCACCTAATTATCAACAATGGCTAACCCATGACAGCCAGTGGGCATGTCACCTAATACCCAATGAAGTAAGGATTTTGTTTCATAATTCCCTTGGGTTTCCAGCATGAAATGGCAACAAGAAATGTTCTGCCTAGTAGAGGCAACAAATGTAATACTGACCAAATGACCCATCGAATGTCACTTTGTTTAGTATAGCACATACAGTATGATTCAAAGTGTGGAGGTAAAACTTCTAGTCCAATATGGCAGACTGACAGCTCATTAAAGCCTTTAAATGTTTTTTTCTTCTGGCCACTGTTGGTTTCACTGCCTAAGCTACTCAGCAAATGCTTGGTGCAACACTGTGGAATGCCCTTTGTCTATGCCCACAGTGTTCTGGGCCATGATTGTCAGAATATGGCAGGTGAAGGGTTTGTGCGGGCTCAACAAATATTTGATGCAACAACACTGTGTGTGTACAACCAGCCTGATCATGACTACCTACGATGGGCATTTTTTGTGTGGCTTTGACTGTGGCACAGGAACAGAGCAATGATGAGGGTCAAGTTGCAGCCTCAACTACTTTCATCTCAAATGTGGAAACAGGCCTTCACAGTTAAACCAAAAAAACAGTTAGAATGCTGTGCTTGTGGTTTTTGTGTATGTTTAATTTGGCATATTTGGGAAGACTGGCATAGGTCGAGCCACCATGTTCTGTCCTGACATTGGGACACTGACCCGGTTACTAAGTAAGCCAGGTGGGACAGTGGGTGGTGACAGAGAAGATGCCCAAGAGGTCATTGTCTGGTGGCTCAGTGGACTCTGCTGATGGTGTAAAAGAGGAGAGAAATGAGAGGGAGAGGACAGAACACCATGAACACCATGAGGAGGTGGCTGGCCTATTGTCTTCCATTCTAGTGGAATCTGATTGGCTGCAGAAGAAATCAGGGTCGGGGGCCCATTTTGATTGTTTGACATTGAAGAAGCTGAAGGGATAGAGGAGGACGAGGATATTGATGAAGCAGGAGAGGCTGCACTGTGTCCCCCACCAGCGCTACCGTACTGTCCTCCCGTGCTATTTGCCATCACCCCCTGACCTCGATGGTGAGAGGTTTTGTTCTGATCCTGGTTGCTGTGGCCATTACCAGAATAGCTGCCTCCACCACTATTACCTCCTCCACCACCTCCACCATGATTGCTACCTCCACTAGTGGTGGCGTTGGAACCACTAGATGCTCCCAGGCTTTGCTCGACCATGCCCTGGTGTCGCAACATATGGTTAGTCATCATGTACTCCAGTTTTGTGCGATAGACACACTGTGGGAAGGGACACTCCAACTCCTTGCCACCCGCAACTACAACAGAACCACCGGAATTGTCCCCTAGATTATTCAGCTTTAACTTTTTGATTGCCAGAGGCTTGCAGTGACATTCCCCTCCACATTTCTCGCATCCTTCTCCTTTCTGATAATGCTTGACTCTGTGAGCTCTCAAGTTATGCCTGTCAGAGGTGCTGTAGCCACACAGGTCGCAGACATAAGGTTTCAGTCCCAGGTGCTTCACCATATGTTCCTTGAGATTCTTCTTCCAGGCAGTGGAGAAGCCACACACTCTGCAGACGTAGCATTTATCATTTGTGTGGATACGCATGTGCTTCTCCAGATCGCTGGAAGATTCTGTGCGGTAGTGATCACAGAATTCACAAGCATACTTCTTTCTTGGACATCCACTGCATTTGTGAACCAGAACCATTTCCTCACTTTGAAACTTGAGACCACACAGGTGACAGGGATGTGGCCGCTCCACCATCTTACACACATAGACCTGATGATAGATTAGTCCTGCTTCGGAGGTCTGTGTCCGTCCACAGGCCCGGCAGCGAAGAGGATGGTTGGTGTCTGAGTTGTGGACAGCCTTATGATGGGCCAGAAGGTCAGTGAACCGGGCAAACACAGCCTGACAGAGAGAGCACATGGAGCTCTTCAGAAGATCTGGGTGAGAACAATACAATCAGAAATAATCAAATACAGTCAACCAATCAGAAATAATCAAATACAGTCAACCAATCAGGAATAATCAAATACAGTCAACCAATCAGAAATAATCAAATACAGTCAACCAATCAGAAATAATCAAATACAGTCAACCAATCAGAAAAACATTTTTGTGTATACCTATAAGCAATCTGGCAATATGAAAATATTCTCATTATCATGTCAATGTAATTGGGTTGTATGGTTGTAGTGGTGACATGAACAAAGCATTACGAGTCAGAATGCTGTCAGAATGCTTTGTTGTTCTCAACAATGAGCACAGAGATAGAAACACTCAGTGTCTTGTCCATTCTACAATATTACAAATGTAAACAATTCCAAATGGATGGTATCAGTGTTATCGAACTGAGTTTTTTTCACACATGGCTCAATCTCTCTCTCTCTCTCTCTCTCTGTAGAATAGTGAGTCGCCTTCCACGATTGTCACACAAAGCTGATTCCCTATAGCTCCAGCAACAGTCATCAGGAATTTCAAAACAAATAAAGCCCATTAAAAAAGCAGTAGAGTCTGTGAAAAGTAACCATGTAAACCTCCTCAAATAAAGTCGAGGATACTGCGGCATAAAGCACATGCTGCCGGACTGGTATTTGTAGAGACCAAACTGGCACCCCATGGCTGTTGAAGTCAACATCTTTCTGGCTGGTTATGGCTGCCTTTACTTTTGAGGTAGTTTCCTAGCACTGCATTTGAATTTTTACAATCACAAGGCCCCAAGCAGTATTGGGTATCTATATCACAACTGTGAGCACTAAAGCAATGTTGAGTACCTATTTCATGACTGTCAGCACTAAAGCAATGTTGAGTACCTATTTCATGACTGTGAGCACTAAAGCAATGTTCAGTATCTATTTCATGACTGTGAGCACTAAAGCAATGTTGAGTATCTATTTCATGACTGTGAGCACTAAAACAATGTTAAGTATCTATTTCATGACTGTGAGCACTAAAGCAATGTTGAGTATCTATTTCATGACTGTGAGCAGTAAAGCAATGTTGAGAATCTATTTCATGTCTGTGAGCACTAAAGCAATGTTGAGTATCTATTTCATGACTGTGAGCAGTAAAGCAATGTTGAGTATCTATTTCATGACTGTGAACACTAAAGCAATGTTGAGTAACTATTTCATGACTGTGAGCACTAAAGCAATGTTGAGTATCTATTTCATGACTGTGAGCACTAAAGCAATGTTGAGTATCTATTTCATGACTGTGAGCACTAAAGCAATGTTGAGTATCTATTTCATGACTGTGAGCACTAAAGCAATGTTGAGTATCTATTTCATGACTGTGAGCACTAAAGCAATCTTGAGTATCTATTTCATGACTGTGAGCAGTAAAGCAATGTTGAGTATCTATTTCATGACTGTGAGCACTAAAGCAATATTGAGTATCTATTTCATGACTGTGAGCACTAAAGCAATATTGAGTATCTATTTCATGACTGTGAGCATTAAAGCAATGTTGAGTATCTTTTTCATGACTGTGAGCACTAAAGCAATGTTGAGTACCTATTTCATGACTGTGAGCACTAAAGCAATGTTGAGTATCTATTTCATGACTGTGAGCACTAAAGCAATGTTGAGTATCTATTTCATGACTGTGAGCACTAAAGCAATGTTGAGTACCTATTTCATGACTGTGAGCACTAAAGCAATCTTGAGTATCTATTTCATGACTGTGAGCACTAAAGCAATGTTGAGTATCTATTTTTCCTCCGAAGTCGGAGTACATCTGCAATGTTGAGTATCATTTCATGACTGTGAGCACTAAAGCAAACAAATTCATGACTGCAGTTTTTAAACGAGTATCTATTTCATGACTGTGAGCACTAAAGCAGTTGAATCTATTTCATGACTGTGCACTAAAGCAATGTTGTAATTTCACAACTGTGAGCACTAAAGCAATGTTGAGTATCTATTTCATGACTGTGAGCACTAAAGCAATGTTGAGTATCTATTTCATGACTGTGAGCACTAAGCAATGTTGAGTATCTATTTCATGACTGTGCACCAAGATGCTGTGAGCACTAAAGCAATGTTGTGTGAGTAAGCATCTATTTCATGACTGTGAGCACTAAAGCAATGTTGAGTATCTATTTCATGACTGTGAGCACTAAAGCAATGTTGAGTATCTATTTCATGACTGTGAGCACTAAAGCAATGTTGAGTATCTATTTCATGACTGTGAGCACTAAAGCAATGTTGAGTATCTATTTCATGACTGTGAGCACTAAAGCAATGTTGAGTATCTATTTCATGACTGTGAGCACTAAAGCAATGTTGAGTATCTATTTCATGACTGTGAGCACTAAAGCAATGTTGAGTATCTATTTCATGACTGTGAGCACTAAAGCAATGTTGAGTATCTATTTCATGACTGTGAGCACTAAAGCAATGTTGAGTATCTATTTCATGACTGTGAGCACTAAAGCAATGCAATGTTGAGTATCTATTTCATGACTGTGAGCACTAAAGCAATGTTGAGTATCTATTTCATGACTGTGAGCACTAAAGCAATGTTGAGTATCAATATTTATCTATTTCATGACTGTGAGCACTAAAGCAATGTTGAGTATCTATTTCATGACTGTGAGCACTAAAGCAATGTTGAGTACCTATTTCATGACTGTACTAAAGCAATATTTCATGACTGTGAGCACTAAAGCAATCTTGAGTATCTATTTCATGACTGTGAGCACTAAAGCAATGTTGAGTATCTATTTTTCCTCCGAAGTCGGAGTACATCTGCCGGAGAGGCAGGGAACGAGTACTGCAAACAAATAAGCCAGTTAAACGGATGTACATGCAAAACTCAGGTCAAGGTAAAAGCCAAAAGTCCATTTTGGACGAACAACCGCGACTTACCGCCGGAATTCACAGCCGGTGAACAGAAGAAGAAGAAGAAGAAGAGTATCTATTTCATGACTGTGAGCAGTAAAGCAATGTTGAGTATCTATTTCATGACTGTGAGCACTAAAGCAATGTTGAGTATCTATTTCATGACTGTGAGCACTAAAGCAATGTTGAGTATCTATTTCATGACTGTGAGCACTAAAGCAATGTTGAGTATCTATTTCATGACTGTGAGCACTAAAGCAATGTTGAGTATCTATTTCATGACTGTGAGCACTAAAGCAATGTTAAGTACCTATTTCATGACTGTGAGCACTAAAGCAATGTTGAGTATCTATTTCATGACTGTGAGCACTAAAGCAATGTTGAGTATCTATTTCATGACTGTGAGCACTAAAGCAATGTTAACTACCTATTTCATGACTGTGAGCACTAAAGCAATGTTGAGTATCTATTTCATGACTGTGAGCACTAAAGCAATGTTGAGTATCTATTTCATGACTGTGAGCACTAAAGCAATGTTGAGTATCTATTTCATGACTGTGAGCACTAAAGCAATGTTGAGTATCTATTTCATAACTGTGAGCACTAAAGCAATGTTGAGTATCTATTTCATGACTGTGAGCACTAAAGCAATGTTGAGTATCTATTTCATGACACCATAGAAATGTTGAGTATCAACAACCAACAAAGACTGAAAGCTTTAATCATAGAACTCTTACCAACCACAATCATCAAAGACTGAAAGCTCTAATCATAGAACTCTTACAAACCACAATCATCAATGACTGAAAGCTCTAATCATAGAACTCTTTTATTAACCACAATCATTAAAGACTGAAAGCTCTAATCATAGAGCTCTTACCAACCACAACCATCAAAGAATGAAAGCTCTAATCATAGAACTCTTACCAACCACAATCATCAAAGACTGAAAGCTTTAATCATAGAACTCTTCCCAACCATAATCATCAAAGACTGAAAGCTTTAATCATAGAACTCTTACCAACCACAATCAATGTTGTGTACTAAATTCACTGGGCTCATTAGAGGCCTGATAGCCGATGCCAGCCCAAGCGGCACAGATGATGATGGTGACAGAAACGTGGGCAAAAGGGGTCCATGTGGCTCGAGGTGAGAGACGAGTGCAAAGATTCGTGATGTGCATGCATTTGTGAAAGAGGTGTTCCTGGAGATTCACCAATAACAGGGACTTGCCCGCGCTTAGCGAGAACCTTGCGGGGCTCGGAGAAGGAGCTAAATGGGAACTGTGGGTGTTGAGTTCAGTGCCTCCCAGCAAGTGTTCCTGGAGATTCACCAATAACAGTGACTTGCCCGCGCTTAGCGAGAACCTTGCGGGGCTCGGAGAAGGAGCTAAATGGGAACTGTGGGTGTTGAGTTCAGTGCCTCCCAGCAAGTTTCGATGTCTGTGAATTCATGTCCAGATGTTTGTGAATTTTTAGTAGTAATTATGTGTATCATTTTAGTTCAGTGAAAGTTGATCTTGTGCATTAGAACTTTGGTGTATGAGTCGAAATGCTCCTGTGTGCGTATTTTGTGGGGACAAGGTGTGGAGGGTTAAACATGTTGTTTGCCGCAAGGCTGACAAAAGTCTTTCTGTGAAGTGTGGCGCAAGTACAAAGACGGCAGTTGTGCAGTGCCTCGTGATGATGCTGATTTGAGTGTGTCAAGAGACTTATTGCCTGGGGCTGAGTCTCTGATCAGTTACCATATATCGGTTAGGGTGACCCGAAGTGAGGGCACTTAACCGAGGAGAAGAATTTGTCTTGGGTGACAACGCAAGGAGGCATAGGAGGATCACTAGTAAAACAAGACAGAAGTTTATGAGAAAGCTATCGGTGACCCCCCAGGAGTGGGGCCGTAGGCAGAAAGAGTATGTTGTGGACTCTCACCGAGTCAAGGCTAGGTGTGCTCTTTCATGTGACACCCCCTTGGTAGCTTAGTATAGTGTATAGGTGGAGCTTTAGATGGAAAGTCGTCCTGTATTACCAGTTCATGCTCATCATTATGTTGTGTTGCATCCAAATAAACAGTCTGAAGCACGAGTAAAGAAATGACTCTGCACGTTTTGTTGATGTGGCCGACTGTGGACTGTTCACAGTGTTAGTAGTATGTTATGACTCTGAGAACTGTGTTAACTTAGTACTTCCACCACACTTCACCAGACACTTCACTACAGACACTTAACTACAGACACTTCACTACAGACACTCCACCATAGACACTTCACCACAGTCACTTCACTACAGACACTTCACCACAGACACTTCACCACAGTCACTTCACCACAGACACTCCACCACAGACACTTCACCACAGACACTCCGCCACAGACACTTCACCACAGTCACTTCACTACAGACACTTCACTACAGACACTCCACCATAGACACTTCACCACAGACACTTCACCACAGACACTCTACCACAGACACTTCGGCACAGTTTGGAGGCATCATTAACTACCTAAAGATGCTTGGTCAGCGTGTGATGCCTCTGAACAATGTTACAAGTAGGTGATAGATTGGCATTACAAATCGCTTTGAAACAATGGCATCCATATTGCCTCCCAACAATACACTTTATAACAATCATCAGAGACTGAAATCTTAAATCATACAGCTCTTACCAACCACACTCATCACAGACTGAAATCTTAAATCATACAGCTCTTACCAACCACACTCATCAGAGACTGAAATCTTAAATCATACAGCTCTTACCAACTACACTCATCAGAGACTGAAATCTTAAATCATACAGCTCTCACCAACCACACTCATCAGAGACTGAAATCTTAAATCATACAGCTCTTACCAACCACACTCATCAGAGACTGAAATCTTAAATCATACAGCTCTTACCAACTACACTCATCAGAGACTGAAATCTTAAATCATACAGCTCTCACCAACCACACTCATCAGAGACTGAAATCTTAAATCATACAGCTCTTACCAACCACACTCATCAGAGACTGAAATCTTAAATCATACAGCTCTTACCAACCACACTCATCAGAGACTGAAATCTTAAATCATACAGCTCTCACCAACCACACTCATCAGAGACTGAAAGCTTAAATCATACAGCTCTTACTAACCATAATCATCAGAGACTGAAAACTTAAATCATACAACTCTCACCAACCACAATCATCAGAGACTGAAAGCTTCAATCATAGAACTTTTACCAACCACTCTCATCAGAGACTGAAATCTTAAATCATACAGCTCTTAGCATCCACACTCATCAGAGACTGAAATCTTAAATCATACAGCTCTTACCAACCACACTCATCAGAGACTGAAATCTTAAATCATACAGCTCTTACCAACCACACTCATCAGAGACTGAAATCTTAAATCATACAGCTCTTACCAACCACAATCATCAGAGACTGAAATCTTAAATCATACAGCTCTAACCAACCACACTCATCAGAGACTGAAATCTTAAATCATACAGCTCTTACTAACCACAATCATCAGAGACTGAAAGCTTCAATCATAGAACTCTTACCAATCACAATCATTAGAGAGTGAAACCCTTAATCATAAAACTCTTACCAACCACAATCATCAGAGACCAAAAGCTTCAATCATAGAACTCTTACCAACCACAATCATCAGAGACTGAAAGCTTCAATCACAGAACTCTTACCAACCACAACCATCAGAGACTGAAAGCTTCAATCACAGAACTTTTACCAACCACAATCATCAAAGACTGAAAGCTGCAATCACAGAACTCTTACCAACCACAACCATCAGAGACTGAAAGCTTCAATCACAGAACTCTTACCAACGACAATCATCAGAGACTGAAAGTTTCAATCACAGATTCAGAGACTGAATCAATCCTAGAACTCTTACCAACCAGAACCATCAGAGACTGAAAGCTTCAATCACAGAACTCTTACCAACCACAACCATCAAAGACTGAAAGCTTCAATCACAGAACTCTTACCAACCACAACCATCAAAGAATGAAAGCTTCAATCACAGAACTCTTACCAACCACAACCATCAAAGACTGAAAGCTTCAATCACAGAACTCTTACCAGCCACAATCAAAACAGGGTAAAAGTGCAAATCCTAGAATTCTTACCACACTCAATTATCACAGTGTGAAAGTGGAAATCCTAGAAATCTTACCCCGCACAATCACAGGGTGAAAAGTCCAATCCTCGAACTCTTCCCAGGTCCAATCCTAGAACTCTTCCCAAGCATAATTAACCTAACAAAAGTCAATGATACAGAACAGCTAACAGAATAAAATAGTCTAGTACTTGCTAGAACCAAAAAACAAACATTACTGCCTTGTAAATTACTTTAAATTTATTTAAATAAATTAAATAAATGGCAGTAAGAAAAACATACAATGCAGGATGAGGACACACACTTATGTTTTACCTTCACCATCAGTAATAGACACCGCTTGAGGTGATGCAGCACAAAGTTTGGCTCGTTTTGGCTTCTTCTTGCGTTTCTTTCCTGGTCCTAGCTCTTCTGTGAAAGAGCTTGCATTTGGTAAAGGGACCATTGACGGTGGGCCCATACTTGAACCTAGAAAACAAACAAGGTTTCCTCATTGACTCTAAGCTGCTTGTTCTCATTTCACCTTGCACAACTTTATCGTGATATGATATTTCATCTTGCACAACTTTATATCTGCTTATCCTGATATGACATTTCACCTTGCACAACTTTATATCTGCTTATCCTGATATGACATTTCACCTTGCACAACTTTTTATCTGCTTATTGTAACATGACATTTCACCTTATTTTAAGAGAACTGGCTCAGAAACAAATACTTAGACCATATTACATGTTCCAGTGGTTTGGAAATGACAGTGACAGAAGTGACAGAAGACCTGGTGCATGAAGGGAATGAATGGACTCACCAACACAGTTTGGAATACAGCTCCATAAAGACATCTTGAACACAAATATAAATCACACAGAGAGCTGGCAAGAAGAACAAGATGATGTTGATGACTCACACAGAGAGCTGGCAAGTAGTTCAAGATGATGTTGATGAATCACACAGAGAGCTGGCAAGTAGTTCAAGATGATGTTGATGACTCACACAGAGAGCTGGCAAGAAGAACAAGATGATGTTGATGACTCACACAGAGAGCTGGCAAGTAGTTCAAGATGATGTTGATGACTCACACAGAGAGCTGGCAAGAAGAACAAGATGATGTTGATGAATCACACAGAGAGCTGGCAAGAAGAACAAGATGATGTTGATGAATCACACAGAGAGCTGGCAAGAAGAACAAGATGATGTTGATGAATCGCACAGAGAGCTGGCAAGTAGTTCAAGATGATGTTGATGACTCACACAGAGAGCTGGCAAGAAGAACAAGATGATGTTGATGAATCCCACAGAGAGCTGGCAAGAAGAACAAGATGATGTTGATGAATCCCACAGAGAGCTGGCAAGTAGTTCAAGATGATGTTGATGAATCACACAGAGAGCTGGCAAGTAGTTCAAGATGATGTTGATGAATCACACAGAGACTGGCAAGAAGTTCAAGATGATGTTGATGATGTTGATGAATCACACAGAGAGCTGGCAAGTAGTTCAAGATGATGTTGATAACTCACACAGAGAGCTGGCAAGTAGTTCAAGATGATGTTGATGACTCACACAGAGAGCTGGCAAGAAGAACAAGATGATGTTGATGAATCACACAGAGAGCTGGCAAGAAGAACAAGATGATGTTGATGAATCCCACAGAGAGCTGGCAAGAAGTTCAAGATGATGTTGATGACTCACACAGAGAGCTGGCAAGAAGAACAAGATGATGTTGATGAATCACACAGAGAGCTGGCAAGAAGAACAAGATGATGTTGATGAATCCCACAGAGAGCTGGCAAGAAGTTCAAGATGATGTTGATGAATCCCACAGAGAGCTGGCAAGAAGTTCAAGATGATGTTGATGAATCACACAGAGAGCTGGCAAGAAGAACAAGATGATGTTGATGAATCACACAGAGAGCTGGCAAGAAGAACAAGATGATGTTGATGAATCCCACAGAGAGCTGGCAAGTAGTTCAAGATGATGTTGATGACTCACACAGAGAGCTGGCAAGAAGAACAAGATGATGTTGATGAATCACACAGAGAGCTGGCAAGAAGAACAAGATGATGTTGATGAATCCCACAGAGAGCTGGCAAGAAGTTCAAGATGATGTTGATGAATCACACAGAGAGCTGGCAAGAAGAACAAGATGATGTTGATGAATCACACAGAGAGCTGGCAAGTAGTTCAAGATGATGTTGATGACTCACACAGAGAGCTGGCAAGAAGTTCAAGATGATGTTGATGAATCACACAGAGAGCTGGCAAGTAGTTCAAGATGATGTTGATGAATCACACAGAGAGCTGGCAAGAAGTTCAAGATGATGTTGATGAATCACACAGAGAGCTGGCAAGAAGAACAAGATGATAATGATGAATCACACAGAGAGCTGGCAAGTAGTTCAAGATGATGTTGATGAATCACACAGAGAGCTGGCAAGAAGTTCAAGATGATGTTGATGAATCACACAGAAAGCTGGCAAGTAGTTCAAGATGATGTTGATGATGTTGATGATGTTGATGAATCACACAGAGAGCTGGCAAGAAGTTCAAGATGATGTTAATGACTCACACAGAGAGCTGGCAAGTAGTTCAAGATGATGTTGATGACTCACACAGAGAGCTGGCAAGTAGTTCAAGATGATGTTGATGAATCACACAGAGAGCTGGCAAGAAGTTCAAGATGATGTTGATGAATCACACAGAGAGCTGGCAAGTAGTTCAAGATGATGTTGATGACTCACACAGAGAGCTGGCAAGAAGAACAAGATGATGTTGATGAATCACACAGAGACTGGCAAGAAGAACAAGATGATGTTGATGAATCACACAGAGAGCTGGCAAGAAGAACAAGATGATGTTGATGAATCCCACAGAGAGCTGGCAAGAAGTTCAAGATGATGTTGATGACTCACACAGAGAGCTGGCAAGTAGTTCAAGATGATGTTGATGAATCACACAGAGAGCTGGCAAGTAGTTCAAGATGATGTTGATGAATCACACAGAGAGCTGGCAAGAAGTTCAAGATGATGTTGATGATGTTGATGAATCACACAGAGAGCTGGCAAGAAGTTCAAGATGATGTTGATGAATCACACAGAGAGCTGGCAAGTAGTTCAAGATGATGTTGATGAATCACACAGAGAGCTGGCAAGTAGTTCAAGATGATGTTGATGAATCACACAGAGAGCTGGTAAGTAGTTCAAGATGATGTTGATGAATCACACAGAGAGCTGGCAAGAAGTTCAAGATGATGTTGATGAATCACACAGAGAGCTGGCAAGTAGTTCAAGATGATGTTGATGACTAACACAGAGAGCTGGCAAGAAGAACAAGATGATGTTGATGAATCACACAGAGACTGGCAAGAAAAACATGATGATGTTGATGAATCACACAGAGAGCTGGCAAGAAGAACAAGATGATGTTGATGAATCCCACAGAGAGCTGGCAAGAAGTTCAAGATGATGTTGATGACTCACACAGAGAGCTGGCAAGTAGTTCAAGATGATGTTGATGAATCACACAGAGAGCTGGCAAGAAGTTCAAGATGATGTTGATGATGTTGATGAATCACACAGAGAGCTGGCAAGTAGTTCAAGATGATGTTGATGACTCACACAGAGAGCTGGCAAGTAGTTCAAGATGATGTTGATAACTCACACAGAGAGCTGGCAAGTAGTTCAAGATGATGTTGATGACTCACACAGAGAGCTGGCAAGAAGAACAAGATGATGTTGATGAATCACACAGAGAGCTGGCAAGAAGAACAAGATGATGTTGATGAATCACACAGAGAGCTGGCAAGAAGAACAAGATGATGTTGGTGACTCACACAGAGAGCTGGCAAGAAGTTCAAGATGATGTTGATGACTCACACAGAGAGCTGGCAAGTAGTTCAAGATGGTGTTGATGATGTTGATGATGTTGATGAATCACACAGAGAGCTAGCAAGAAGTTCAAGATGATGTTGATGATATTGATGATGTTGATGATGTTGATGAATCACACAGAGAGCTGGCAAGTAGTTCAAGATGATGTTGATGACTCACACAGAGAGCTGGCAAGTAGTTCAAGATGATGTTGATGACTCACACAGAGAGCTGGCAAGAAGTTCAAGATGATGTTGATGAATCACACAGAGAGCTGGCAAGTAGTTCAAGATGATGTTGATGAATCACACAGAGAGCTGGCAAGTAGTTCAAGATGATGTTGATGAATCACACAGAGAGCTGGCAAGAAGTTCAAGATGATGTTGATGATGTTGATGAATCACACAGAGAGCTGGCAAGTAGATCAAGATGATGTTGATGATGTTGATGAATCACACAGAGAGCTGGCAAGTAGTTCAAGATGATGTTGATGACTGGACTGAAACAACTGCTGATGAATCCTAGAAAGCCAATATTATTTTCATGTGAGAAACAACTAGGTCAAACGGGTCAGTTCTGTCTCCAGTACTGTGATGACACACAACAAACCTGTGTAGGTGTTAAAGTGCTGGTAGCTGCTGCCATGTTGGCCACCACTGCTGCTGTAGCTATTGATGCTGGCTTGCTCTCTCAGCTTCTGCAGCAGCTGCACCTACAGTCAAGCAGTTCCATGAAATTAACATACAACATTTTTCTACAGTCAAGCAGTTCCATGAAATTAACATACAACATTTTTCTACAGTCAAACAGTTCCACAAAATTAACAAACATTTTTCTACAGTCAAGCAGTTTCATGAAATTAACATAAAACATTTTCTACAGTCAAGCAGTTCCATGAAATTAACATAAAACATTTTCTACAGTCAAGCAGTTCCATGAAATTGCATACAACATTTTCTACAGTCAAGCAGTTCCATGAAATTGACATACAAGATTTTCTACAGTCAAACAGTTCCACAAATTTACAAACATTTTCTACAGTCAAGCAGTTTCATGAAATTAACATAAAACATTTTATACAGTCAAGCAGTTCCATGAAATTAACATAAAACATTTTCTACAGTCAAGCAGTTCCATGAAATTGACATACAAAATTTTCTAGTCAAGCAGTTCCATGAAATTAACATAAAACATTTTCTACAGTCAAACAGTTCCATGAAATTACCATACAACATTTTATACAGTCAAGCAGTTCCATGAAATTAACATACAACATTTTCTACAGTCAAGCAGTTCCATGAAATTAACATACAACATTTTATACAGTCAAGCAGTTCCATGAAATTAACATACAACATTTTATACAGTCAAGCAGTTCCATGAAATTAACATACAACATTTTATACAATCAAGCAGTTCCACGAAATTAACATACAACATTTTTCTACAGTCAAGCAGTTCCATGAAATTGACATACAACATTTTTCTAAGGAAAGACATATCTTCTTCATCTGATCTCTACCCCCTTCCAAAGTGCACTGGCCCTCAATCAGTGTATACTTTGTTGTCGTGTGTAGACAAAAACTGGATTAATATAGGTTCTCCTATGTTCTCCTCATCTTCTTCCTCTCCAATTCTCTGCTCCAGGTGTTATTTGGCTCTATCTTTCTGTGTTCTGCCCTGTATCCTGCCTGTCCTATGTCAGCAGTCTCAATCTCTAATTCTCTGCTACAGGTGTTAATTGGATCTACCCTTATTACTGGGGTCTGTAGGTTTTAGTGCAAGGACATTCTAGTTACCTTATTATCAGGCTTTCTCAATGTGGGGTCCTATACAATGCCAGTGTCTTTTCATCACTTACTCAGTTCAATTAACAGCAAATAAATTATAAGCAATTTTGAGAAAACAAAATAAGTATTTTGGGCACACAGAAACACAGGAAGGTTTTGAGAAATTAGTCAATGTGGTTCATTCACGGGAAGCTGAAAAAAGGGCACACAGAAAATATAATAGATAACTGACAAATGTCATCAAACTGAGACAGGACATGTGACTAGATAACTGACATATGTCATCAAACTGAGACAGGACATGTGACTAGATGACTGACAAATGTCATCAAACTGAGACAGGACATGTGACTAGAGGACTGACATATGTCATCAAACTGAGACAGGACATGTGACTAGATAACTGACAAATGTCATCAAACTGAGACAGGACATGTGACTAGATAACTGACAAATGTCATCAAACTGAGACATGATATGTGACTAGATAACTGACATATGTCATCAAACTGAGACAGGACATGTGACTAGATAACTGACAAATGTCATCAAACTGAGACAGGATATGTGACTAGATGACTGACAAATGTTATCAAACTGAGACAGGACATGTGACTAGAGGACTGACAAATGTCATCAAACTGAGACAGGACATGTGACTAGAGGACTGACAAATATCATCAAACTGAGACAGGACATGTGACTAGAGGACTGACAAATGTCATCAAACTGAGACAGGACATGTGACTAGATGACTGGCATATATAATCAAACTGAGACAGGACATGTGACTGGATGACTGACATATGTCATCAAACTGAGACAGGACATGTAACTAGATAACTGACAAATGTCATCAAACTGAAACAGAAAATGTGACCAGATAACTGACATATGTCATCAAACTGAGACAGGACATGTAATTAGATAACTGACAAATGTCATCAAACTGAGACGGAAAATGTGACCAGATAACTGACATATGTCATCAAACTGAGACAGGACATGTAACTAGATAACTGACAAATGTCATCAAACTGAGACGGAAAATGTGACCAGATAACTGACATATGTCATCAAACTGAGACAGGACATGTAACTAGATAACTGACAAATGTCATCAAACTGAGACAGGACATGTGACTAGATAACTGACAAATGTCATCAAACTGAGACAGGACATGTAACTAGATAACTGACATATGTCATCAAACTGAGACAGGACATGTAACTAGATAACTGACATATGTCATCAAACTGAGACAGGACATGTAACTAGATAACTGACATATGTCATCAAACTGAGACAGAAAATGTGTCTAATGGAAGACTTTAAAAAATACTCTTCAGACGTTTTTTGCAGGGTGGGCTACATGATGAAGATGATGATGATGATGGTGATGATGATGGTGATGATGATGGTGATGATGATGATGATGATGATGATGATGGTGGTGATGATGATGATGATGATGATGATGACGATGGTGGTGGTAATGATGATGAAGACGATGGTGGTGGTGATGATGATTAAGAGAGTGATGTGAAATATACTTTATCTTCCACGCTGCAATCTCCTCCTATCTGGGTCACACCAAGGCAAGAGACATCATCACTTTCACTGAGGGAAGAGTTTTTGCTGCTGCTACTGTCGGCCATGCTGCTGTTGTTGGCATTGGTGTAGGTCATACCCACAGGGATGAAGTCATCATTCTCAGTCTTCACTTCTGCTGAGCTGGAATATAACCATCTGAATGTCACAGCTGATTATCGGTCAAGGAACAACAGATACTGCACTCTGGGCAAACCTACCGATAACCATTCCATCTCGCTCAGGAAATGTCACAAGTTGTTGATACCAACAGTTCTGGTAAAATACTGTTATAATTGTTACAAACGTTTATATCTGATCTTTCTACATTTTAAAACATTGTTTTATTATTACCCAAAATAAAACAAAATAATATTCTTTTTTCCCTGTCTGTTTACACTATCATACTTTTCAATTCTGCACATTTCTAAAATAAATGTTCATGTCATTTTTGAACTTATTACAGGAAAGTCAAGGACCAAAACAAGCTGATGCAGATGTCACTGATGGTGGGCCGAGAGATTAATAAGCTTTTACAGAACCAAGCGGAAATCTGAGAATGGTGACGTAAGGATAATGGTGATAAATGATAGTATAGGCTTAAAATTTGTCCTTTAAGGACCCATGGTGTCAAATACACTCTCCTCCAGAATGTGCACTCCCTCCACCAATGTCTATGTCTGCCACACTCCCTCCACCAATGTCTATGTTTGCCACACTCCCTCCACCAATGTCTATGACTGCCACACTCCCTCCACCAATGTCTATGTCTGCCACACTCCCTCCACCAATGTCTATGTCTGCCACACTCCCTCCCCCAATGTCTATGTCTGCCGACTCCCTCCACCAATGTCTATGTCTGCCACACTCCCTCTACCAATGTCTATGTCTGCCACACTCCCTCCACCAATGTCTATGTCTGGCGTACTCTTTCCACCGGCATGTCTGCTGCACTCCCTCCACTGGCATCTCTGCCCCATTCCTTACACCGGTGTCCATGTCTGCTGCACTCCTTCCACTGGCATCTCTGCCCCATTCCTTACACCGGTGTCCATGTCTGCTGCACTCCCTCCACTGATGTCTATGTCTCCGCACTCCTTCCACTGGCATCTCTGCCCCATTCCTTACACCGGTGTCCATGTCTGCCACACTCCTTCCACTGGCATCTCTGCCCCATTCCTTACACCGGTGTCCATGTCTGCTGCACTCCCTCCACTGATGTCCATGTCTCCGCACTCCTTCCACTCACGTCTATGTCTGCCACACTCCTTCCACTGGCAACTCTGCCCCATTCCTTACACCGGTGTCCATGTCTGCCGCACTCCTTCCAAGGAAGTCCCCAATTAGTCAACTTTACGACATGCTTGTTAGGAAGGCAGTGGGTCTATTCTTGTTTTCTTCACAACGAGGGGCTATAGAACCTGCATGGGGATGTTGCTACACACAAAACTAGAACCTTAGATGCACCCACAGGGAGAGTCCACAATGACAGCCACTTTCAACCATTGGAAAATGGCATGACATTGTCATAAAATCTGCAGGTGCTGTGGTCGTTTGGAGGAAGGATTTCTTTTTTGAAGAAAGTAACAACCGGCTCAACAACAAAAACAAAAAGACTTATTTTCAGAAGGCAAACTACCAACAAGAACAAAACTCTGTGAACCTACATGTATCTGACACCAAGCCTTGCATGTACCTACTGCCAAAGATCCACAAGTCAAACAATTGGATACTCCATCATCGTTGCATGCTCCTGTCCCACATTGTAAATATCAGAATTCTCAGACAGTATTTTCACGACAAATAGAGACAAAAAAGAGGAGTAAGTCAGGAATGTGCGTGGTATTCCCAAGCCTTTTTAACTTATATACAGAAAACATTTTTAAACAGTTGAGGAATTGCCTGGACTGGATATTAACAGAAGAAATATAAACAATCTGAGATATGTAAATGACACAGTGCTACTAGCAGAAAGTGAGCAGAAGTTACAAAAACTAGTTGATCAAGTCAACAGGTGAAGTGCAATGACACAGTGTTACTAGCAGACAGCGAGCAGGAGTTACAAGAACTAGTTGATCAAGTCAACAGATGGAGTGCAATGACACAGTGTTACTAGCAGACAGCGAGCAGGAGTTACAAGAACTAGTTGATCAAGTCAACAGATGGAGTGCAATGACACAGTGTTACTAGCAGAAAGTGAGCAGGAGTTACAAGAACTAGTTGATCAAGTCAACAGATGGAGTGCAATGACACAGTGTTACTAGCAGAAAGTGAGCAGGAGTTACAAGAACTAGTTGATCAAGTCAACAGGTGGAGCGCAATGACACAGTGCTACTAGCAGAAAGTGAGCAGAAGTTACAAGAACTAGTTGATCAAGTCAGCAGGTGAAGTGCAATGACACAGTGTTACTAGCAGACAGCGAGCAGGAGTTACAAGAACTAGTTGATCAAGTCAACAGATGGAGTGCAATGACACAGTGTTACTAGCAGAAAGTGAGCAGAAGTTACAAGAACTAGTTGATCAAGTCAACAGATGGAGTGCATTGACACAGCGTTACTAGCAGAAAGTGAGCAGGAGTTACAAGAACTAGTTGATCAAGTCAACAGGTGGAGTGCAATGACACAGTGTTACTAGCAGAAAGTGAGCAGAAGTTACAAGAACTAGTTGATCAAGTCAACAGATGGAGTGCATTGACACAATGTTACTAGCAGAAAGTGAGCAGGAGTTACAAGAACTAGTTGATCAAGTCAACAGGTGAAGTGCAATGACACAGTGTTACTAGCATAAAGTGAGCAGGAGTTACAAGAACTAGTTGATCAAGTCAACAGATGGAGTGCAATGAAACAGTGTTACTAGCAGAAAGTGAGCAGGAGTTACAAGAACTAGTTGATCAAGTCAACAGGTGGAGTGCAATGACACAGTGTTACTAGCAGAAAGTGAGCAGAAGTTACAAGAACTAGTTGATCAAGTCAACAGATGGAGTGCATTGACACAGTGTTACTAGCAGAAAGTGACTAGGAGTTACAAGAACTAGTTGATCAAGTCAACAGGTGGAGTGCAATGACACAGTGTTACCAGCAGAAAGTGAGCAGAAGTTACAAGAACTAGTTGATCAAGTCAACAGGTGGAGTGCAATGACACAGTGTTACTAGCAGAAAGTGAGCAGGAGTTACAAGAACTAGTTGATCAAGTCAATAGGTGGAGTGCAATGACACAGTGTTACTAGCAGACAGCGAGCAGGAGTTACAAGAACTAGTTGATCAAGTCAACAGGTGGAGTACAGAGTTTAGCTTAGACATTCTTCTTGTTCTCTACGCCCTCTTTTATCGCTTTGGGTGTTGAGGGAGATATAAGGTACTGCTTTGTGCTCTTCTGGCTGCTTCGATCACAGACACATTGTGGTGTTATAGTGTTTCTCTGATGTTATCTTCACAACTTGCTCTATGTCTGTCTCCTCTTTTGGTATATGCCTTCTATGGTATATCACCAGAAGGCATTCTCTCTAAGTGGGCAAACCATTTGATTTGCTGTCTTTGCCCGACTCTCTAGCGTAGTTGGCTAAACCGGATTGCGCAGAGACTGGGTGATGAACTCCTTGTGGTCCATGTTCAATCCCTGGGGTAGGCAGGAAAGCCACATTTTCTCCCAGATTTATGGAATCTAACATGGAATCAAGGCCGAAAGGTTTCGATATCCATAATACCGAGCCTAAGGGTTAACTAATGGCTTCTGGATACTAAAACAAACAAAACAAACATTTGCTGTCTTTCTACGTAATTTAGAATTAGTTCGGTGCCAGCTGTGTAACACAGGTAAGCGATCAGAGAGGGAACAAGTAGGGGTCGAATCAATTTATGCCAGGACCTGAAGGAGTAAATAAAAGAATACAGATTGCTTTAAACATGACAATAAAAGTTCTAAGAGCAGGTGTTACAATTATGGGGAGCATAAATCTTTTAGTTAGACAAGCAGCCAACGTGAGAGACAGACAAGCTTTCAGTCATAACCATAAATCAAGAGGATAACACAGGTAACTGGGACTCAAGGCGGTCAGTCCAGGCCACCAAGAACGATAATTGAGGGGAGATAAGAAGGTAGCAGAGAATCAAAAGATGACAGGTGACAGGAATGACAAATGGGCCATGGGAAAAGAACAAAGGATAAAAGGGAGCCTGGAAAGGATGAAAGAGAAAAGAAGGAGAAGCTCTCGAGGAGTCATGTCGGGGACCTTGTAGCCTACTGCAGTTGACAAAGACTGGAGCTTGTGGAGAGAGAGTTGACTAGATGGCTGAGAAGAGACTGGAGCTTGTGGAGAGAGAGTTGACTAGATGGCTGGGAAGAGACTTGGTTAGAAAGAAAGACATTTCAACAGTACGTTTAGAAGAGACTTTATTACCTGTCGATATTAGTGAATAACTTGTTAAAGTATACCACTTAACATCATAGCAATTTATATTGAAGTATATGAATCATCATTGTGTTAAATGAACTTATCGTCATATATGAATAGTCAGCAACAATTTACTGAAGTGTTCCTACTTTTGTTTAAAGGAGACATTTTTGTCCTGCTTGCTTAAAACTTGGGGAGCATGGAGATACAACTGTATCACAACTTTATCTCATTTGCCCTCATTCCTTTTTACCTCTTCTGGTCACTCCTACAGTCTTTCTCAGACAATTCATTCCTTTTTACCTCTTCTGGTCACTCTTACAGTCTTTCTCAGACACCTCATTCCTTTTTACCTCTTCTGGTCACTCCTACAGTCTTTCTCAGACACCTCATTCCTTTTTATCTCTTCTGGTCACTCCTACAGTCTTTCTCAGACAATTCATTCCTTTTTACCTCTTCTGGTCACTCCTACAGTCTTTCTCAGACACCTCATTCCTTTTTATCTCTTCTGGTCACTCCTACAGTCTTTCTCAGACAATTCATTCCTTTTTACCTCTTCTGGTCACTCTTACAGTCTTTCTCAGACACCTCATTCCTTTTTACCTCTTCTGGTCACTCCTACAGTCTTTCTCAGACACCTCATTCCTTTTTATCTCTTCTGGTCACTCTTACAGTCTTTCTCAGACAATTCATTCCTTTTTACCTCTTCTGGTCACTCCTACAGTCTTTCTCAGACACCTCATTCCTTTTTATCTCTTCTGGTCACTCCTACAGTCTTTCTCAGACAATTCATTCCTTTTTACCTCTTCTGGTCACTCTTACAGTCTTTCTCAGACACCTCATTCCTTTTTACCTCTTCTGGTCACTCCTACAGTCTTTCTCAGACACCTCATTCCTTTTTACCTCTTCTGGTCACTCCTACAGTCTTTCTCAGACATCTCATTCCTTTTTATCTCTTCTGGTCACTCCTACAGTCTTTCTCAGACACCTCATTCCTTTTTATCTCTTCTGGTCACTCCTACAGTCTTTCTCAGACAATTCATTCCTCTTTACCTCTTCTGGTCACTCTTACAGTCTTTCTCAGACACCTCATTCCTTTTTACCTCTTCTGGTCACTCCTACAGTCTTTCTCAGACACCTCATTCCTTTTTATCTCTTCTGGTCACTCCTACAGTCTTTCTCAGACAATTCATTCCTTTTTACCTCTTCTGGTCACTCCTACAGTCTTTCTCAGACACCTCATTCCTTTTTATCTCTTCTGGTCACTCCTACAGTCTTTCTCAGACAATTCATTCCTTTTTACCTCTTCTGGTCACTCTTACAGTCTTTCTCAGACACCTCATTCCTTTTTACCTCTTCTGGTCACTCCTACAGTCTTTCTCAGACACCTCATTCCTTTTTATCTCTTCTGGTCACTCTTACAGTCTTTCTCAGACAATTCATTCCTTTTTACCTCTTCTGGTCACTCCTACAGTCTTTCTCAGACACCTCATTCCTTTTTATCTCTTCTGGTCACTCCTACAGTCTTTCTCAGACAATTCATTCCTTTTTACCTCTTCTGGTCACTCTTACAGTCTTTCTCAGACACCTCATTCCTTTTTACCTCTTCTGGTCACTCCTACAGTCTTTCTCAGACACCTCATTCCTTTTTACCTCTTCTGGTCACTCCTACAGTCTTTCTCAGACATCTCATTCCTTTTTATCTCTTCTGGTCACTCCTACAGTCTTTCTCAGACACCTCATTCCTTTTTATCTCTTCTGGTCACTCCTACAGTCTTTCTCAGACACCTCATTCCTTTTTATCTCTTCTGGTCACTCCTACAGTCTTTCTCAGACACCTCATTCCTTTTTATCTCTTCTGGTCACTCCTACAGTCTTTCTCAGACACCTCATTCCTTTTTACCTCTTCTGGTCACTCCTACAGTCTTTCTCAGACACCTCATTCCTTTTTATCTCTTCTGGTCACTCCTACAGTCTTTCTCAGACAATTCATTCCTTTTTACCTCTTCTGGTCACTCTTACAGTCTTTCTCAGACACCTCATTCCTTTTTACCTCTTCTGGTCACTCCTACAGTCTTTCTCAGACACCTCATTCCTTTTTACCTCTTCTGGTCACTCCTACAGTCTTTCTCAGACATCTCATTCCTTTTTATCTCTTCTGGTCACTCCTACAGTCTTTCTCAGACACCTCATTCCTTTTTATCTCTTCTGGTCACTCCTACAGTCTTTCTCAGACACCTCATTCCTTTTTATCTCTTCTGGTCACTCCTACAGTCTTTCTCAGACACCTCATTCCTTTTTATCTCTTCTGGTCACAGTCTTTCTCAGACACCTCATTCCTTTTTACCTCTTCTGGTCACTCCTACAGTCTTTCTCAGACACCTCATTCCTTTTTATCTCTTCTGGTCACAGTCTTTCTCAGACACCTCATTTACATGGTTACTAATTTTCTTTTATGGTTTAGACATTAACATTCAAGAAACAAAAACTATGGTAATTAACAATGGAAAAGAGTAGCCAATAGTGAACATCACAGTAAACAGAGAACAAGTAACAGTTTTTCCTATCTAGGACACATAGTGGCAGATGATGGAAGAAATGAAACAGAAATCAAAAAGAGAATAGGAATGGCTAAAACTGTCTTCACTAAGATGTGCAAATTACCAACAGCCAGAGAGATAAACAACACACTAAAAAATGAAAATCGTCAAAAGTTATTGTACTCAACCCTGCTGTATGATGCAGAAACGTGGACAATGAAAAAGCAACTAGAAAATTGAATTGCGTCTCTGGAGATGTGGGTGTACACAAGTCTCTGGAAATGTGGGTGTACACAAGTCTCTGGAGATGTGAGTGTACACAAGTCTCTGGAGATGTGTGTGTACACAAGTCTCTGAAGATGTGGGTGTATGCAAGTCTCTGGAGATGTTGGTGTACCCAAGTCTCTGGAGATGTGGGTGTACACAAGAACAGGTCATGGTCATATTTCATGGAAACAAAAACAGTCCAATACAGAGGTTCTGGTAAAGAGAACTGCTTCAATAAATAAAAAAGAGACAATTTAAATAGTTTGACCCTTTTAAAAGACATAACACAATTTTAAAAACCATACTGAATGGAAAGGTCGAAGGCAAGACAGCTACAGGTGGGCAATGATATAAGTGGGGGACAACATCAAGAGATGGATGGGCAGCAGTCTGAGAGTGTACAACCAGGACAAGAGATGGATGGGCAGCAGTCTGAGAGTGTACAACCAGGACAAGAGACAGAGCATCTTGGAGATCCATTGCAGCCAACCTTTACTGTGGAGATGGCACCTTATTGATTGATGAAACAAATAGTCTCTGCTCACAGCTCCTTCTGCTATGCAGGTTGCGCTCCAATGGTGATAACTTAAGCCTACTCACAGCTTCTTCTGCTATGCAGGTTGCGCTCCAATGGTGATAACTTAAGCCTACTCACAGCTCCTTCTGCTATGCAGGTTGTGCTCCAATGGTGATAACTTAAGCCTACTCACAGCTCCTTCTGCTATGCAGGTTGTGCTCCAATGGTGATAACTTAAGCCTACTCACAGCTCCTTCTGCTATGCAGGTTGTGCTCCAATGGTGATAACTTAAGCCTACTCACAGCTCCTTCTGCTATGCAGGTTGTGCTCCAATGGTGATAACTTAAGCCTACTCACAGCTCCTTCTGCTATGCAGGTTGCGCTCCAATGGTGATAACTTAAGCCTACTCACAGCTCCTTCTGCTATGCAGTTTGCGCTCCAATGGTGATAACTTAAGCAAGGCATTTAACTTCTTGACTTCTTCCACACCCACTTGTATCCTGAACGTATCTTGCAAGAGGTTCTGCACAAAGTACTACCCATCCCCCCAGAGAGGTTCATTCCCCACCAAACACAACTCTACTAGGAACAGACTCAAACTGACAATGTTCCATTTGAACAATTATTCCACCAGAACTTGAATGTCTTCTTCTCTAACCGAGGCACCCAGAGGATCTTTAATAAAAGAAACACAGTGATATACAGGCGAGACCGCAATCTAACAGTTATACTCATCATCAGCAGACTCCAGCTCATTCACATAGCATTTCCTTTTGGGACTATAGAATGGTCCTGAACTAAACACAAAACATGTCCATTTGTTACCTTATCAGTCCTTTTCATGAATAGTTCATTCCAGATTAGGAAAGTATTTACTTGTGAATACTGATACTTATCTAAACGATGAAGAAAAAAAGCATACATTAGGGGAACCAGCAAGAAGCTAGCTCAACATATCTGCAAACATCTCTTGTTTAACCACAAGGAGGCACTCAAACCAGTCTCTCTCCATTTTAACAGTTCTGACCACAAAAGTGAAAATGATTATCTCTTTTACCACCATAATAAAATCAGCAACCACAGGTTAAAGAAGAAGAAATTAAAATGTGTGTGCAACAAAACCAGATAAAAGATAAACTTACTTTTGTCTGTGCTGCTGCGGTTGCTGCTGCTGCTGCTGCTGTTGCTGCTGCAGCTGTTGTATCATGTGAGCACTAGCCTGGCCAGTGTGAATGCCTCCAGAATTCTGAAGGCCTGTTTTGTTCGGCTGGACAAGTTTGACACAACTGAGAGAAAGATCGAACAGATAGTTGATGTTAGTGTCTGCAGTATCACATTTCATCCCATGCCGGGCCAGATGGCGCATGTCTCTCCACAGATCTCAGCCATTTGTTCTCTCCATCAGTCTTATTGATATTCCTCCAGTTCATCACCAAAGACTAATATACTCTGACTCTCTCTCTCTCTCTCTTTCTACCTGTCTAATACTGATCTTTTCAGTAGGCATAATGTTCCATATCACTTTTCTTCCTGTCACATGACCACAGAACAGTGACTTTTTTATTGTTATATATAAAATCTGTTACTTCTCTTAGCTGCTTTATATAAAGTCACTGTTAATTGTTTTCATTCTTTTTTCAGCATTCTCAACCCCTAAAGTTTAAACGCCAACCTGCATCCATCTTTGCTTTTCTCTTCCAGTTGTTTGTAGGTCTGCCTGAATATTATCTCCAGTCTTCTTGGTCTGCCTTGTGGTCTTCTGCTTCTTCTTCTGGCCTTTATTCCCCACTGGAGCATAGGCTTTCAACCAACTCAGACCATAAAGTTCTATCCTGGCAGCTCACCCCATGTCTACTCCATTTTTTAATCTATGTTCTTTAACTCCATTCTCTATGTGTTTTGCATTTATTTCTGGGCCCCTGTGGGTTCCAGTGCAAAGACACTCTAGTTATATTATTCTCAGCTTTTCGCAATGTGTGTCCTATCCAACGCCAGGGTCTCTTTTTCACCTCTTGGTCCACTGGGAGTTGTTTAGTTCCCTCCCAAAGCTCAACATCCACTGGAACTTGTTTAGTTCCCTCCCAAAGCTCAACATCCACTGGAACTTGTTTAGTTCCCTCCCAAAGCTCAACATCCACTGGAACTTGTTTAGTTCCCTCCCAAAGCTCAACACCCACTGGGACTTCTTTAGATCCCTCCCAAAGCTCAACATCCACTGGGACTTGTTTAGTTCTCTCCCAAAGCTCAACATCCACTGGGACTTGTTTAGTTCCCTCACAAAGCTCAACGTCCACTGGAACTTGTTTAGTTCTCTCCCAAAGCTCAACATCCATTGGAACTTGTTTAGTTCCCTCCCAAAGCTCAACATCCACTGGAACTTGTTTAGTTCCCTCCCAAAGCTCAATACCCACTGGGACTTGTTTAGTTCCCTCCCAAAGCTCAACACCCACTGGGACTTGTTTAGTTCCCTCCCAAAGCTCAACATCCACTGGAACTTGTTTAGTTCCCTCAAAAGCTCAAAATCCACTAGGACTTGTTTAGTTCCCTCCCAAAGCTCAACATCCACTGGAACTTGTTAAGTTCCCTCCCAAAGCTCAACATCCACTGGAACTTGTTTAGTTCTCTCCTAAAGCCCAACATCCACTGGAACTTGTTAAGTTCCCTCCCAAAGCTCAACATCCACTGGAACTTGTTTAGTTCCCTCCCAAAGCTCAACATCCACTGGAACTTGTTTAGTTCCCTCCCAAAGCTCCACATCCACTGGGACTTGTTTAGTTCCCTCCCAAAGCTCAGCATCCACTGGAACTTGTTTAGTTCTCTCCCAAAGCTCAACATCCACTGGAACTTGTTTAGTTCTCTCCCAAAGCTCAGCATGAACTGGAACTTGTTTAGTTCTCTCCCAAAGCTCAACATCCACTGGAACTTGTTTAGTTCCCTCCCAAAGCTCAACATCCACTGGGACTTGTTTAGTTCCCTCCCAAAGCTCAGCATCCACTGGAACTTGTTTAGTTCTCTCCCAAAGCTCAACATCCACTGGGACTTGTTTAGTTCCCTCCCAAAGCTCAACATCCACTTTAACTTGTTTAGTTCCTTCCCAAAGCTCAACATCCACTTTAACTTGTTTAGTTCCCTCCCAAAGCTCAACATCCACTGGAACTTGTTTAGTTCCCTCCCAAAGCTCAAAATCCACTTTAACTTGTTTAGTTCCTTCCCAAAGCTCAACATCCACTGGGACTTGTTTAGTTCCCTCCCAAAGATCAGCATCCACTGGAACTTGTTTAGTTCTCTCCCAAAGCTCAACATCCACTGGGACTTGTTTAGTTCCCTCCCAAAGCTCAACATTCACTTTAACTTGTTTAGTTCCTTACCAAAGCTCAACATACACTGGAACTTGTTTAGTTCCCTCCCAAAGCTCAACATCCACTGGAACTTGTTTAGTTCCCTCCCAAAGCTCAACATCCACTGGAACTTGTTTAGTTCTCTCCCAAAGCTCAACATCAGTGATTCTATCATTCCCTTTAACTCCCTCCACTCTGTGCAAGCATCAGTAATGAATGGTTGCAGTTTATTAGTAGCTGTTTTAGTTGTTCTTTATGTTTCCGCTCCATACAGCAGTACTGATTTCACATTGTAGTCTACTCCAATCCTACTCTTCTGTGTACACTGTTGTCTGCCATCAACTCTTCTGTGTAAACAATTGTTATGTCTCTGTCATCTGCCATCCAACTCTTCTGTGTACACAGTTGTTATGTCTCTGTCATTTGCCATCCAACTCTTCTGTGTACACAGTTGTTATGTGTCTGTCATCTGCCATCCAACTCTTCTGTGTACACAATTGTTATGTCTCTGTCATCTGCCATCCAGCTCTGCTGTGTACACAATTGTTATGTCTCTGTCATCTGCCATCCAACTCTTCTGTGTACACAATTGTTATGTCTCTGTCATCTGCCATCCAACTCTTCTGTGTACACAATTGCCATGTCTCTGTCATCTGCCATCCAACTCTTCTGTGTACACAATTGTTATGTCTCTGTCATCTGCCATCCAACTCTTCTGTGTACACAATTGTTATGTCTCTGTAATCTGCCATCCAACTCTTCTGTGTACAGAGTTGTCATGTCTCTGTCATCTGCCATCCAACTCTTCTGTGTACACAATTGTTATGTCTCTGTCATCTGCCATCCAACTCTTCTGTGCACACAATTGTTATGTCTCTGTCATCTGCCATCCAACTCCTCTGTGTAAACAGTTGTCATGTCTCTGTCATCTGCCATCCAACTCTTCTGTGTACACAGTTGTCATGTCTCTGTCATCTGCCATTCTCTCTGCATTCCCCCATTATTTCTGTCTATAAGCCCTCCTGACACTGGTAATTAGTGGTGATGTAAACAGATTATGAATTTTGTTGTTGCTTCTCACTCTCTATTCTCCGCTATTTGTATCTAATGGCTCCAAAGATTAGTTGTTGCTTCTTAATCTCTATTCTATATTTGTATCTAATGGCTCCAAAGATTAGTTGTTGCTTCTCACTCTCTATTCTATATTTGTATCTAATGGCTCCAAAGATTAGTTGTTGCTTCTCACTCTCTATTCTCTATTTGTATCTAATGGCTCCAAAGATTAGTTGTTGCTTCTCACTCTCTAATCCATATTTGTATCTAATGTTTCCAAAGATGTGTTGTTGCTTCTCACTCTCTATTCTATATTTGCATCTAATGGCTCCAAAGATTTGTTGTTGCTTCTCACTCTCTATTCTATATTTGTATCTAATGGCTCCAAAGATTTGTTGTTGCTTCTCACTCTCTATTCTATATTTGTATCTAATGGCTCCAAAGATTTGTTGTTGCTTCTCACTCTCTATTCTATATTTGCATCTAATGGCTCCAAAGATTAGTTGTTGCTTATCACTCTCTATACTATATTTGTATCTAATGGCTCCAAAGATTAGTTGTTGCTTCTCACTCTCTATTCCATATTTGTATCTAATGTTTCCAAAGATTTGTTGTTGCTTCTCACTCTCTATTCTATATTTGCATCTAATGGCTCCAAAGATTAGTTGTTGCTTCTCACTCTCTATTCTATATTTGTATCTAATGGCTCCATAGATTTGTTGTTGCTTCTCACTCTCTATTCTATATTTGTATCTAATGGCTCCAAAGATTAGTTGTTGCTTCTCACTCTCTATTCTATATTTGTATCTAATGGCACCAAAGATTTGTTGTTGCTTCTCACTCTCTATTCTATATTTGTAGCTAATGGCTCCAAAGATTTGTTGTTGCTTCTCACTCTCTATTCTCCACTATTTGTATCTAATGGCTCCAAAGATTAGTTGTTGCTTCTCACTCTCTATTCTCCACTATTTGTATCTAATGGCTCCAAAGATTTGTTGTTGCTTCTCACTCTCTATTCTATATTTGTATCTAATGGCTCCAAAGATTTGTTGTTGCTTCTCACTCTCTATTCTCCACTATTTGTATCTAATGGCTCCAAAGATTTGTTGTTGCTTCTCACTCTCTATTCTCCACTATTTGTATCTAATGGCTCCAAAGATTAGTTGTTGCTTCTCACTCTCTATTCTCCACTATTTGTATCTAATGGCTCCAAAGATTTGTTGTTGCTTCTCACTCTCTATTCTATATTTGTATCTAATAGCTCCAAAGATTAGTTGTTGCTTCTCACTCTCTATTCTCTATTTTTATATAATGGCTCCAAAGATTTGTTGTTGCTTCTCACTCTCTATTCTATATTTGTATCTAATGGCTCCAAAGATTTGTTGTTGCTTCTCACTCTCTATTCTATATTTGTATATAATGGCTCCAAAAATTTGTTGTTGCTTCTCACTCTCTATTCTATATTTGTATCTAATGGCTCCAAAGATTTGTTGTTGCCTCTCACTCTCTATTCTATATTTGTATCTAATGGCTCCAAAGATTTGTTGTTGCTTCTCACTCTCTATTCTATATTTGTATCTAATGGCTCCAAAGATTTGTTGTTGCTTCTCACTCTCTATTCTCCACTGTTTGTATCTAATGGCTCCAAAGATTTGTTGTTGCTTCTCACTCTCTATTCTATATTTGTATCTAATGGCTCCAAAGATTAGTTGTTGCTTCTCACTCTCTATTCTATATTTGTATCTAATGGCTCCAAAGATTTGTTGTTGCTTCTCACTCTCTATTCTCCACTATTTGTATCTAATGGCTCCAAAGATTTGTTGTTGCTTCTCACTCTCTATTCTCCACTTTTTGTATCTAATGGCTCCAAAGATTTGTTGTTGCTTCTCACTCTC